AGAAGCCCTATCTGCAGCAGATAGGCGCGTTCCGCTTTCTGCTGCATTGGAAAGGGCGGTCCCCAATCAACACGCAGCAAAAGCCTATCTGCAGCAGATAGGCGCGTTTTCTCCGTCTGCTGGAGGGGGGGTTGTTGCTCATCAAAGCACTTTAGAAGCCCTATCTGCAGCAGATAGGCGCGTTTCCACCGTTTGCTGGAGTGGAAGGGGTGGTATTTTAAAGAGACACCGCAAGGCCCATCTGCACCAAATAGGTCCAACTCAAACCAAAGAACAGCGGAAACCCTAAGCCCAACGGAGTTCAATTGCCCAGCGACCTGATGAAAGCCATCCACGAAACTCCGGCCTTGTCAAAGAGAAAGGCGTTGCTGACAATGCAGTGTTGTTGCGTGCGCGTATGTCCAGGTGTTCCAATGTTGGTTCAGACCCGACATCACTTAATTTCGTATTTCCCACGACGTCACTTAATTCCATTTCCAAATTAACGAAAATAAGCGACGACCCGCGAATTATTGTAATTCACCCACATAAATGCGTATAATATGGTTTTCGTTTCTTCCAGTTTAGTCATTCGCTTGGGTGGGCTTGGAACCGCCGGCTTTCGTTTTGTTACAGCTAGATCAGCTAGATCCGTTTTTCACGGGGTGCTTGAAGCGCATATTGAATATGACTGAGTACCAAAAAACTACCTCTGAACGCCAAAGATACTCTTTGCATCGGCCCCGTCCCCTGGTCGCACGTGACGAGGTCGCACTATGACTTGGTCTCCACGCAGTGGCTGAGGGCAAGAGAGCAGGCCTTGATCGAGGCCTTGACCTGACGGATCCAAATGGATCTATTTGGCCAACGGATAGATGGAATCGTTCTCAGAATGCCCGTGGCGTGTCGAACCTAACACCAAAACATCTTCGTTGCAAGCAAGTGATCCTGCAACCGACCTCCGGTCTTGTAGGGCAGCACTGCACTAACTACATTGCAAAGCAGCTTTGATGTTCTGTTCAAGTCAGGGTTGACCCATGAAACAGCAACATCGTACTCCATTGGGCCTGACTTCTTGATTCCTCCGCCGATGGGGTCAGAGTGGGATTCCGACACCATTGTTTTCAAAAAGACCCTGCCAGCTTCTCATTGCTTCTTCTCGGGGAGAAGGGCATTTTTCCGCAAAGTCCGGAGAAATGCTAGCCTGCCAAGCCGCGGCCGCCGTTGCGCGATCGAGAGTAGGAGAAAGGCCGTGACACGCAGTGAAAGGGCGTGCCTAAAATGTGTGGATACCAGGCCTATCCAGCACTTTAAAGTAGGCTGTTGATCTAAAATGATCAAGCATGAAGAGGTTTTACAATTTAAAGGGGGTGTTATTGATGTTATTGAATCAACAGTCACCTTAGCTGATGCTCCGTTTGTAGCTAACTAATCCCAACTCCCTATTAGGCCTATTACTTAAAACGCTTCCCTGCTACTAGCAAGAAACAAAGACTGTTTTGTGTTCAATCACAGGGGTAAGTTGTTCAGGGGAATTTCATCGATCAAACAGTGGAAGCGGTCCCCCCAATTTATATACAACCCATGGAATCTATGAATGAGGCTTTGGAAGGACTTGAAAAAAGTAGTATTTGCAGCAAAAGACGAAATGAGGCACACACACACAACTAGTTTTGAGATCGCCTAAGTAGGTAGAGCCTGGAGGCCATGAAAACAATTATGTTTACACCAAGTGGAGGCCAGGTAGAGCCAACAAACTTTTTTGGGGTCTCGGGACAGCACTGGGGACATAGTTTTCGGAAGCAGCCAAACAAACAAATGTGATCCAAAATGCAATGCAAACAAATAGTCATTGCTCGCTGCAATCAAAATATGCTTGAAAATGCAGTGCCGAAAAACGAGCGTTGGGGCTGCTGGCCCACGTGATGTCTGGAGAACACTTCAAAAGCCTTTGATGACTGGTGGCGTGCCCACAGCGCGAACAATTAGGAAGTGGTGTTGCAATCACAAGCTTTCTACTTTCAAAATGTTCCAGGGCTGTGTCCACGTGGAGACTTGCTCCCAAGGTGCATTTTGGATCCTATTTCTTGAGCCAACAGAGCTACAGAGCCTACCTAGGTTAGGCAATCTCAAAACTACGTAGTTATTTTACTATATTTTATCTAACTTTTAACGTCTAAGCATCAATTTGGATGAATTACAGTAGGAGGTTTTTGCTGGCAGCTCATGGGTGCAAAATCTATGCACCGCGAATCACATCACAGTTGGAAGCCACGTGTAGCAAGTTGGAAAGGGCGCAATTCAATAGTTTTGGGGACCGGACCACTGCGCATTTAGTTATAGGGATACGTTTAGTAGAACGGAGTGGGCATGAATGAAGATGTCCATTTCCGCGGAGAATGTCTTTGGGGCCACAATCTGTCAAAGCTGACTTCACCGCTTTGAGACATGGACACCCATGGACACCGTCGAACAACATCATCCGTCGAAAGGTGAAGAAACCAGTCGACGGGTAACTCCAATCATCCAAGAGAAGTGCATGCGGTGGGCACTTGCAGTGCGGTGGTGCATGCACGCCCAAAGGTCGGTGGTGTGAAAAAGACTATGTTTTTTTGGGGGTTTGTTTTTGGACTTTGAGGATTTGATGGAATTTGGATTCCCTGCCTGTGGTGCGTCCCAAGCGCATGGTCTATCAAACTATCGGCTACGTCTTGACCCGAGTGGGCCAGGAAGCGAAACGCGAGAAGGCTGCGAAGCAGATCCAGGCCGTGACCCCGGCAAGACTCGGCCGCCGAGAAGACGAATTGACGATGTGACAGGTGGAGCAAACACACGCTTCTCCTGGCCCCCAGGATAACTACATAAACCTTTAAGATCCTTTAAGCATTTGTACGGTCTTTAAGCTTTTTTTCGGGATTGGTGACACCACTATATAGTTAACATGAACCAGGTGGAAGGTTCGGTTCACCTCTATTTTCCAAAACTGAGGGAGTCAGACCAAACGCTTCTTTTTGTATGTCTAAGATCTTAGGGGCCTGTAACACCCAACTGGACTCCGCGGGGCGAACGCACAGGGCGAAGCAACTGCATCTGCGGATTGTCCCTGAGGGTGAAGCCAAACACAACAGCCAGTAGAGCAGAAAAAACCAGAAAAGCGGAAGAAAGCAACTAGAGCAAGCAATGGCAACAAAGGCCATAGAAAGCACACACCAATTAAAACAAGGAAACAATACGCCACAAAAGGACAAGAAATACGAAAGTACATAAAACAGAAGAAAAGCAAGGAAGTGCAAGAAAAGCACAAAAAACAACAGGAAAAGCCAGGAAAGCACGAGCAACCACTGAGAAGCAATGAAACGCCAGAACAGCAGCAAGTAGCAAATCCAACAAGAAGTTCCCTAAATCAACACAACAAGTCCACCCCCAAATAGCAATCCTTTACTTCATATGCCTAGAGTCTCTGGGATACGATGTGCTCTGTGAATTCCTTTGGTCCGAACTACATGCCCTTGAGGGATGCACTCAAAACCAAAAAGGTGTTCGATTTGACTGGCCTCAGCCGGATTCTTTGCTTTGGAGTGTGTAACATCCCGCAACATCTCGGAAGAAGAAAAAATCACACCATGCTTCAAGTCCACTGGTGCTTGCAACTCAAGGGGCCACGGTGCATGATGTCCGATGGAGAGCTGAGACCGGCCCAGGCAGCATATCGCCGGTATCAGCGCACCCTCACCTTCGCCCAGGAGAGTCGAGATCCGTCGGCGGGACCGATCCGGTGGACTGACCTGCCCGTAACAGCCATGGGTCGGCCCGGGTGGCGTGCCGAGATGATCCGAATGTGGCCGTTGGCCGGTTTTTGGGGGGGAGGGGGTGGCCACTGTAAGATCATGTAAGATCAACAAGGCACATAATATAGGCACATGCAAGATCCGTTCTGTCAGGTTACAGCTTACAACGTTACTACTGAAATAAAGAACAGCTCCTCTCTCTCTATATAGTATAGTATATATAGTTATATATCATGCTGGGCCCAAGAGCCACCAGTTGTTTGGAGAGATTGAGTTTAGAGATTATTTTTGCTGGCAGTTTTGGGTGACATTTGATTCGATATAGTATGATATTCTCGTGATTGAAAGATGAAGATTGACACGTCCAACCTGGACTTAGAGGCCAATTCTGTGTCAGACAATATGGCCATGTCTCAAGAGCTGGAGGTCTCCAGCCTCAAGTGGCACTTGCACCATTTTGCGCACCTTTGCTAAGCGTTGTCTATTGAACCGTGCTTTTATTCTTTGGACCATTAGATATCTTACAGTATCCTTTGAACACTATTTCCTTTTTCTGTGTTTTGTTTTTCGAGTTTCTCGAGTTTCCTCTTTTCGATTCTCGAGTTGATGATTGGCTGCTAGGAGTCCTTGTGGTTTGCGGACCCTGCTCACTCGAAGACACCCGGACCGGTCCTGGAAAAACGACTCCACTTGACAGGACTACAGCTCGAGCCAACGTTGGGGAAACTCAGGACGTCAGTCAAAAAGTGGCCAACGGTGCCTGAAATACACCACACGGGTTTCGGACAAGGAAGTACACCAAGGACTCGGCAGAGGGGTTTTGGTCGATTAGTTCTTGCATCATCTTGCATCCCAGTCTTAATAATATATACAAAAAATATATGGACGATGTTTCTTTGGTTTCGCAGGATGCTGTTTGAGAGTCTATTTTTTCTACGCACAGTTCGGGAAAACCCTGCAGGTCAACCAAGGTATTGTTTTTGACCCACAGCCACATTGAGGTACAGGAACAATGAAGAACTGGCCATCGAGGATTGAGGTAGCACTCTATAGGTACCTTACGGATCTACTCAGCTCATCTCGGCTCTTCAGCTTCTCCTCTTACCTTTGGGGAAGACCATGGAAGACCTGGAGCATTTTGAGCATGCAGAGTTGGAAGATCCATGCGTTCCATCTCCGGGGCTGGGACAAAACATACAAAACTGCGGGTGTTCAAGATCCCAAGCCTCAACATATATATGATAAACATCCCCCCAAAAGAGACTGTTCGACTGTTCTATTCAATGTTTGGATGGAAAGCAGGGCGATCCTGTCCACGAACGATGGCACATCGGATGCCGAACGGACCTGGACCCTTCGCCGAACGGGGTCCACCACCGAGGCTGCTCGGACTTCACGGCTCCCCGGGCGCCGTTGTCCCCGGAGCGCCGCGAGAGTGCCGTGCAGTTGGTGGCTCGGCAGAGCGGGATACTAGTAACAGGTGCCACGCTAGTAGTAACAAGTGCCTTACTACTAGTAACAATAATGATTGGAGTGTGAGAACAGGGAGACCTCCCTGGCCGGTGGGTAGACTGGTCTATTTCCCAAACCTTCCAAAGGGTCACGTCCTGAGAAGTAGATCCTTTTTTGTTATACACCAAAATTAGAACACCCATTGATTTTTCGGAACGACAAAACAATCAGTCAGAACAATGGATACCACCCCAGATGTTCTTTTTTGCGTAGCTCACTTGTGTGGATCGGGTGATGTTGATTTTCCCGGTTCCTGGGTGAATCCCTGAATCCCTTTGGACATCTTTGGTAAACATATGTGAACATTGCAAAACAATTTTGTTCCTGATTGCGAATCCAAGTTTGGGTGACTGGATGACAGGGTGTACCGGCCCCAGCTGGCCCCACCGAGACTGAAGGTGGTTGGCCAGTTGTCACCACTGGGCCCGTTGTGCAGTTGGCCTGTTTGGGAGGTGGTTCTTGTTAAAAATATGTTAAATGATGTTAAATGTTCTTCGGTCCTACCCAAGAAAAGTGAATCATTTGATCTACAGCCCCCTCCCAAAGATCATTTTGGGCAGAGCCTGATCTTAAACATCACCATTTAAGACCATTTTTCGCCAGGAGTCTGGGTCAGT